CTCTTTTCACTTTTCTTTTCACACTTTGGGAATTCAGCAGAGAGGAGGGAGGCTGAGCTGTTTCCTTGCTCGCAGGCACCCTCAGGTCTTTGAGAGGCAAAATTCATCCTTGAGCTCACAAGATGTGATTTTGGCCACCCCACATTTTTCACTGTGCTGTGTTTTCAGCATCCTTTTGTCAGCAAGGTCACCAGCAACAGGGCCCTGCGGGAGCTGGTGGCAGAGGCCAAGGCTGAGGTGATGGAGGAGATCGAGGAGAGTCGGGATGAAGCAGAGGAGGATGATTCCTCAGAGTCTGCCTCGGTGAGCAGCTTCACCACCCTGGCCGTGCTGGGGGAAACAACCTGGAAACTTTTCCGGACTCCAAAAATTGCTCTGGGTCACATCAGGTGGAGGGGGGAGTGGTTGCTTGGCCAGGGAAGGGCTGGATTTTGGTGGCTGCCAAGGGTGTGGAGAAATAATGGTGCTGGGGAGTGGCTCAGTGCTCACTCACAGGTGAAAAATGGTTAAAAAACAAAATGAAAAAGGGGGGAAAAATGGAAAATAAGCCCTGATGCAGGCTGGAGTGGCAGCATGTGGAGAGACCACCAGCCTGAGGAGGGAGCTGGGCAGATCTTCCCCTGGGCTTGGCTCTTTGAAGGGGACATCTCAGAGGGGCTTGGGGACATGTCTCGACCTCCCTCCTGTGTCCCAAAGGGAAGTGGTTCATCCACAGGGCAGTTAGCCATGGCAAAAGGAGTTGGGTGTGCAAATTCCTCATGTGCCTCTTAAGGCTGTGCAGCTTCTGGGGCTTTGTCATTGTTCCCCTTCCTTCCACCCAGGATCTGCAGTCCCTGGGGCCACAAACCTGGGCAAAGATGGAAACATCCCAGGGCAGATATCCTAAAAGGGAAATCCCCTCCCTTTAGTTCAGGGTGACTTTGCTGTGCAGAGGGGCCTTGCAGTTGTGTTGAGTGCTGGGCAAACCCCAACATCTGCCTTTCCCTGTCGCTGCAGCCCCCTGGGAAGCACAAGAGGGACCCCTCTGAGGCGAGCCAGCTGAGTTTTGATGGGGAGAAACCTCCAGACTCCTCCTTGCCCAAAGCTGTGAACGGCTCCGTGGGGACTGGCAAGGACAGCACAGAGAGCCAGAGCCACAAAGCTCCAGCTAAAGGGATCAGCAGTGACAGTGACAAACTGGAGAGCAGCCACTCCACAAAACCCAGCTCGGCCACCCAGGACAAGCCAGACATCATCCTGCAGCCAGAACATTTGGGTAACTCAACCGAGGGGAACAAGGAGCTGGGCAGGGAGGAGAGGAAGAGCATCGTGGAGAGGAAGAGCACTGGGGAGAGGAAGAGCATCGTGGAGCGACCAGAGAGCGTTCTCCTGGAGAATTTCAGCGAGGAGAAGCTGGCCAATGGAAGCCTGGAGCCCCTGGGGCCGTTCCCTGGCAGCCACTCCAAAAGGGACTCGGATTCTGGCAGCACTTCAGCCTCTGAGAGCATGGACCTCAGCATCTCCCTGTCTGCTGACCTGGCCCTCAACAGGGAGAGCGGCTCCATCTCCCTCAAGGTGAGAGTGGTGCCAGGGGGTGCTGGAGACCACGGAGGAGGGAGGAGCCCTTCCCTAGGGAAAGATTTCCCATGTTGTCTGTCCCAGCACAGCGTTTACAGCTGGGGTGAGCTGTGCCAGGTCCTCTAATGAAGGAGAAGCTCCTGGTGGAGCTGCTGAAGGTTTAATTTTGTCCTCTTCAGTGCCTGGGGCATGTGCCAGGTCCTCTAATGAAGGAGAAGCTCTTGGTGGAGCTGCTGTGTGTCCTCTTCAGGTCCAGGCCACTGCAGTCTAGGGAAATCTGATGTCTTGTGTCTATTTTGTGTGAAGCCATGACTTCACAAGCCTGACTTGCCTTTGCTCAAATGTGAAACTCCAGATGGGATTTCCTAAACTTTATCCACAGCCCATCACTCTGCTGCTCTTCCCTAGAACACCTGGCCAGGAGAAAGTTCATCTGGGCTCGTGCCTCTCAGTTTTCCCAACCTGCCCTACATCTGGCCTGGTTTGTGTCAGCAGGGACTGCACTAAGACCTCCCAGGCTTCTTTATTTCATTATTTGGCTTTTGCTAAAGCTTCCTGGAAGCTGGGAATGCTTGACCTGGAGCTGCCCAGGCCAGCAGGGCTTAGAGGAAGAGGCAAAATAACTGGAATGGTATTTGCTGAGCTCCAGGAGAAGAAATGTTGTGAGTTGAGGGATGTGTTGCACAAGATCTTTGTCACGTTGCCTGCAGGAGTGAGAACTTCCCGGCACACAAACGTGCCTAAAAACCTTTTTTTGGCAAAACTTTCCCCACCTCCTGTTGGGAGCTGGAGAGCCAACATCCCCCAGAGGAGCCTGCAGTCCCTGATGGTTGGAAATGTGATGCTCTTGGACAGGAATTTCCCTCTCCCCACAGCCTGGTCTCCTCGAGGAGGAGGAATACGATGTCACACGTAGATTTGCTCTCTGAGTTGGTTCTTTAGGAGGGATAAGGGTTTTTTTGGGTTTTTCGGGGATAGGTCATGGTGAGGAAGGGTCTTTGGGGGGTGGGTCAGGTTTCTTCAGGGTGGAAGCCCCGCTGCTCCGTGGCTTGGCAGGATCTCCAAATTCACTGATGGTTTGTGCTCCGTGTGGATTCCTTGTGTACGTTCTTCGTGAACAACAGCATTAAAATTGCTCTGAGGGCTCCAGCCCTGCTGTTGCAGCCCTGGGGAGCTGTTCATGGACCCCTCCCCTCCCTGCCCACCCCAGGACTCCCAGATGCACAAGAAGACCCTGAAGCGGACCCGAAAATTCGTGGTGGACGGGGTGGAGGTGAGCGTCACCACCTCCAAAATCATCAGTGAGGACGAGAAGAAGGATGAAGAAATGAGGTTTCTCAGGCAAGTGGGGCACTGGGATGGAGGCAGGGATGGAGGGAGGGCAGGGTTTTCCTCTCTGAGCTAATCCAGGGGTGACCTGAAGTCCTCTTGTCCTCTCTTGGTCCCATTTGGACAAGGGAAGGAGGGATTCAGCTCAAGGTGCAGCAAGACTGTGCCAAGGGGAGCTTTGCTCTGGCTGGCTCTGTCCTCTGGGGATGACTGAATGTGTCCCCAGGGCTTGCTCAGTGGAAATTAGCTCAGAAATCTTCTCAAGATGTTCCTCTCCCCTTTTGTTCTCCAGTCTCCTCAGACTTCATTAACAGAAAGGCCAAGGGAGTTCTAAACTCCTGGAGCATTATTTAATATTCATGGGTGCATCCTCCCTCCTTGATGACTCCTCTGCAGATCTTACAGCTTTCAAACCTCCCTGGCTTATTCTCAGAAGCAGGAGCTGCTGTTTCTAGCACTGAAATGAAAAGGCCCTTTAAATAATTAAAACACAAATTATTTCTTTTGATGCCCAATTCCAGGCTCCCTCGTGCTGCTCTTGGGAGGATAATTTGTCCTAAACACTTTGTGTCCCTGTGGCTGCCTTATTCCTCAGCCCCAATATCAGATTGATAAAAAAGCTCATTAGCAGAGCTCATTTAATGGTGAGCTGGATGAGGGGAGGGAATTTGAGTCAGAATTTGGGAAAACTGCCCTTTTTGCCACCCAGATGTGAATAAGAATGGACACAGAGCATAGAGGCCAGGCCAGAGCAGCCCAGCTTGGGATTTGGGGACCAGTGAGCACTGACCCAGCTGGCACAGTGGGTGTTTGGGGGACCCCAATGCTGCAGAATCACCCCAGGAGCCTCGCCAGGGCTTGTTTGAGGAGCTGGGAATGCTAAGGGAACACCTGTGGGAGCTGATGGTTTTCCAGCAGTTCCCATGAGGAGCTTCCTGCAGTGTCCCAGTGCCTGGAGCACATCAGGACATTGGATGTCCCTCCTGCCTGTGCTCAGAGCAGGAGCTGTGGGATGGAAATAGAGCTCCCACAGTGTCCCAGAGCCTGGAGCACATCGGGAAGCTGGGATAGAGTGGGGACAGGGTGGGATCTGTGGGATGCAGCCCCCACTCCCTGCTGCAATGCCCTGCTGCTGGATGTTACCATCCCCGCCCATCACAGCCCTCTGGCCACTCCTGACCCTGCATTTCTGTGTCCCCCTGCCCCTCCCTGCCCCTGTGCAGGCGCCAGGAGCTGCGGGAGCTGCGTTTGCTGCAGAAGGAGGAGCACAGGAACCAGGCCCAGCTGAACAGCAAGCACCAGCTGCAGCTGGAGCAGATGCTGCGGCGCTTCGAGCAGGAGATGATGGTAGGAGGGCAGGGAGGAGCCCTGGGAATCAGCTGGGAATTCCAATTCCAATGCACGTGCCCCACATGGGGATGCTCTCGGGGTTGCAGCAGCCTTGGGCATCGCAGGAAGCCCTTTGGGATTTGAGGATGGAGGTTTTGTGGGCATTGAGCATCCTGCAGCTTGGGAAGCACTGGCAGCCTTTGCTGGGAAAGGGTTGTTCTGGACTTTCTCTCTTTAATGATCTCTTTTATGTCTGTTCGTGGCTACTGTGAGAAACAGTTTATAGTGCTGTTGTAATTCACAGAAAAAAAACAACACAACAAGCCTTTAAATAAGAAAGGAGCAAGGGCTGAGTGTGACAGCAGGAAATCTGGCAAGGCTCTGAGTGTAAATTGAATAAACTGGGCTCCCTTCTGTTGAAATAAAATAATCTTGTAGTTAATCACAGAATGGTTTGGGTTAGAAGGGACCTTAAAGATCTTCTCCTTCCATGGCACGAGGGCACTGCTGGAGCACAGAGCTTCAAACTTTGTGAGGTGTTGGTTGGAAGCTTCCCTCCTCAATCCAGGCTCAATCCAAGCAGGAACAATCCCTTTTCCCCTTTCTCTTCCTTTCTCTTCCTTTCTCTTCCTTTCTCTTCCTTTCCCTTCCTTTCCCTTCCTTTCCCTTCCTTTCCCTTCCTTTCTCAGAACTTCTCCCTTTTTTTCCCTTCTCTTTTCACTTTTCTTTTTTCCCTCACTTTTCTTTTTCCCCTTCTCTTTTCCCTTTCCTCTTGCCCTCTCTTTTCCCTTTCCTCTTGCCCTCTCTTTTCCCTTTCCTCTTGCCCTCTCTCTTCCCACTTTTCTTTCCAAACTTCGGGAAGGCAGCGAAGCAGAGCGGATGCCGACCCGTTTCCCCCGTTTTACAGGCCAAGAAGAAGTTCTACGACACGGAGCTGGAGAACCTGGAGCGGCAGCAGAAGCAGCAGATCGAGAGGATGGAGCAGGAGCATTCCCTGCGCCGGAGGGAGGAGGCGAAGAGAATCCGCCTGGAGCAGGAGCGCGACCACGCCCGCTTCCTCGAGCAGCTCAAGCAGATGAAGAAGGAGGTAAAAAAATGAGCAAGACACCGAGGGGAGGTGATTTCCTGCATTTCTGCATTCAGGGGGAAAAAGAAGGTGGTAAAAAATGAGCAGGACACCGAGGGAAGGTGATTTCCTGCATTTCTGCATTCAGGGGGAAAAAGAAGGTGGTAAAAAATGAGCAGGACACCGAGGGAAGGTGATTTCCTGCACTTCTGCATTCAGGGGGATGAAGAAAGAGTTTAAAAAGGGGCATCGAGGGGAGGTGATTTCCTGCATTTCTGCATTCAGGGGATGAAGAAAGAGTTTAAAAAGGGGCATCGAGGGGAGGTGATTTCCTGCATTTCTGCATTCAGGGGGATGAAGAAGGAGATAAAAAATGGGTAGAACACCGAGGGGAGGTGATTTCCTGCACCTCTGCATTCAGAGGATGAAGAAGGAGATACAAAAGAGGCATCGAGGGGAGGTGATTTCCTGCATTTCTGCATTCAGGGGGATGAAGAAGAAGGTAAAAAATGGGCAGGACAAGGAGGGGAGGTGATTTCCTGCACCTCTGCATTCCGAGGATGAAGAAGGAGATACAAAAGAGGCATCGAGGGGAGGTGATTTCCTGCATTTTTGCATTCAGAGGGAAGAAGAAGGTGGTAAAAAAGGGCCATGGCACCGAGGGGAGGTGATTTCCTGCACCTCTGCATTCAGGGCAAGCTCCAGTGTTTATTGCTGGTAGAACTTCAGGAGGAAAGCAGTTGGTGGTTTATGGGGGAAAGTCTTGACGTTGGGTGGTTCCTGAAGTGTTTTTTGGTGGTTCCTGAGGTGCTCTTAGGTGATGCCTGATGTGTTTTGGGTTCCTGAGGTGTTTTGGGTGATTCCAGAAGTGTTTATGGTGAATCCTGAATGGTTCTGGGTGGTTCCTGAGGTGTTTTGGGTTCCTGAATTGTTTTGGGTGATTCCTGGGGTGCTCTTGAGTGATTCCTGAGGTATTTTTTGGGTGATTCCTGAATTGTGTTTTGAGTGGTTCCTGAGGTGTTTTTGGTGATTCCTGAGGTATTTTTTGGGTGGTTCCTGAGGTGTTTTGGATGATTCCTGAGGTTCTTTTTCGGTAATTCCTGAGTTATTTTTGGGTGATTCCTGATGTGGTTTTTTGGGTGATTCCTGAGCTGTTCAGTGACTCGAGGTGGGGGATGTTCCTGGCCTTATGTGACCTGCAGGAAAATTTAATTTCCTCCCCACAGGTCAAGAACGAGGTGGAGAAGCTGCCACGGCAGCAGCGCAAAGGGAACCTGAAGACAAAGATGGACGACTTCACCCAGAAAAAACAAACCATGGTGAGACCCAGGGGAGATTCCCCCCCAAATTCCAAGACTGGGAAATGTGAAGGAGAATTAAAAAAATCCTTCCTGCTGGAAGGACTGGTTCAGAAACACCAAAGCTCAGTTCTGAAACTTCCCAAGCTGCAGAAGAAGGAAGGCTCATGGTGGCACTGCTGGGTTTTTTTGGTTTTTTTTTTGCAAACAGGAGCAGGAATTTTTGGCCAAGCAGAAGGAGGACCTGGAGCTGGCCATGAAGAACATCACTGCCCAGAACAAAAGAGAGATCTGTGACAAGGAACGGGAGTGCCTCAACAAGAAGCAGCAGCTGATGAGAGGTGGGTGGCAAAGGCTGAGCTCTGTAACCATGGCTTTATCCAGCCCTGCCTCTTCCCACGCAGCAGATGCTGTGACAGAGCTGCAAGCTGGCAGGATGGGATGTGGAAAAAACCCAGCCTTGCCAGGTCCTGTCTAAATGTTTAACAATAATAATACTTAGTGCTTTAATCTTCCAAGTGCTTTACAAATACGAACCAATTAGGCTTCGTAATTGCGAGAAATCAGGCTCCAATATGGTTTTGCAACCTGATTTCTCTTGGAAAACAGGAGGTGAATGATCACCCCTGTGGGACACATATTGAGAAAGTAAGAAAATTACAGCCTGAAAGATATTCCAGGCTGGAGCTTTTCAGCTCTGTTCCCAGCCCATAAGCTGGTCCAGCTCAAGGCTAGGGAGAATTTCTCCCAGGGTGATAATTTGGTCAAAATGAAAAGGAATTAATAACAAAATAAAGCACCTGTTGTAGTGTGTAACCAAACCCTAAAAATAAGATGCCTTCTCTCTGAACCAATCAACTTTTCTCTACTCTTGGAGTTGCAGTCATGCTATAAAACCAAGTGTATACAACCATGTAGCTGTACATCCTATTTCCACCACACTTAAAGGGTTAAAACCCCTTTCCACAGCTACACCCCCCCAACATCTGCTGCAGTGTTGGTGTGCACAGAGGTCTCTTGAGCTTGGCATGCTTGGTGTGACCAGGAGGAGAGGCCAGGGTGGGTGATGTCCTGCTCCTTCTGCTCCCCACAGACAGGGAAGCTTGCATCTGGGATCTGGAAGAGCGTCAGCAGCAGGAGAAGCACCAGCTCATCAAGCAGCAGCTGAAGGATCAATATTTCCTCCAGAGGCACGAGCTGCTCCGAAAACATGAGAAGGTGAAAGATTTGCAACTTCCCACCCTGGTGTGGGTCAGCAAAGTGTCCCTGGGTGTTCCCCTCCCAGGCTGAAAGGGGGGGAATCACCAAGGGTGTGTGTTCCATCCCTATATGGGCCATTCAAGATCCTTGTGGGTCCCTTCCAACTCAGAATATTCTGGAATTCTGTGAATTCTGTGGTTCTAAGGGTGTTAAAGGGCTTGGTCGTTATTAGTCCAATGACCAAACCAATGACTAGTCCGATTAGTTTCATTATTAGTGAAAAAGGAGCAGAATAAATCTGGTGTCAAGAAGGCAATAAAGCCTTGTTGCTTGGGATGTTTGCTCTGTGTTGTTTGCATTTAATGTGCAAGAAGTTGGGAATTTTGGGGTGGGGGGCTTTACTGGAAATCTGCCATGCCTAGAATTTGGCATGGTTGATTCCCAGAGTGTGAAGCCTGACACTTCTCCTCTGCTGTCCCAGCCTGTCCAATCCTTGCCACCCCCTCTTGTCCCTTCGATTGTCACCAACCACTTCCACGCCACACCCCAATCTGCCCTCCAGCTGTCCCTGTTCCTCTCAGGCGTTTGGGGACGTGTCCCTGCTCCTCTGACCCGTGTGTGCCTGCAGGAAAGGGAGCAGATGCAGCGCTACAACCAGCGCATGCTGGAGCAGCTGAAGGTGAGGCAGCAGCAGGAGAGAGCCCGGCTGCCCAAAATCCAGCGCAGCGAGGGCAAGACACGCATGGCCATGTACAAGAAGAGCCTCCACATCCACTCCAGTGGCAGTGCCTCCGAGCAGAGGGAGAAAATCAAACAGGTCAGGGCCTGGGAAGGCACCAGGAGTTGAGTTTGGATTGGTGTGGGGAGGAGGGGGTTTGGGAAATGCAGCTGTTTCCAGGTTTGAACTTACTGCTGGGTTCGAGGGCTCTGGGTGAGGTCACACCTTGAGTGCTGTGTCCAGTTCTGGGCCCTCAGTTTAGGGAGGACGTTGAGATGCTTGAGTTCATCCAGAGGAAACAACAAGGCTGGGGAGGGGCTTGGAACAAACCCTGTGAGGAACAACTGAGGGAGCTGGGGGTGTTTATCCTGCAGAAAAGGAGACTCAGGGGTGATTTCATCACTCTTACAACTCCTGAAAGGTGCCTGTGTCAGCTGGGGTTGGTCTCTCTCTCCAGGCAGCACTGACAGAACCAGAGGACACAGTTCTCAAGCTGTGTTAAAGGAAAATTAGGTTGGATATTAGGAGAAAGTTTTTAATGGAAAGAGTGGTAAAGTTCTGGGATGTTTTTCCCAGGGAGGTGGTGGAGTCACCATCCCTGGGTGTGTTTAAAAAAGCCTGGATGTGGCACTGGGTGCCATGGGCTGGGTGAGGTGTTAGGGCTGGCTTGGACTCGATGATCTTGAAGGTCTCTTCCAACCCAGTGATTCTGTGAATTTTGTGAATTCTGTGATTCTGTGAATTTTGTGAATTCTGTGAATTCTCTGGTTTGTGCCATCACGTGTGGTTTCCAGCGCTGTCTCCGCTTGTATTGGGAAGCATCCTCGGGGCTTTTCCTCCTTTCCTGTGTGCTAATGGAAGCTGGGCTGGTGTCTGAGCCAGCCCCAGAGCCCAGGGCAGTGCTGCCTACACCTGCTTTTGTCTCTGGCAGTTTGCTCTGCAGGAGGACAAGAGGCAGAAGGCAGAGCGGCTGCACCAGCAGCAGAAACACGAGTCGCAGATGAAGGACATGCAGGCCCAGTGTGAGAGCAACACCCACGAGCTCCAGCACCTCCAGGTACTCATGGCTTGGTCTCCCAGAGCTGCCCGTGCAGTCTCAGGCTCTGGAGAAGCAGAGAACTGTCAGGAGTCGATGTCCCCTTGCTCTTGCCCCGAGAGGTTTTTTGTTGCCGTGTCTGAGCTCAGAGCTCTGAGTGTCTCTGCCCGAGGCAAGCCCTGTGTGAGCGCTGGGTGTGCAGTTCCAGCTCCTTCATGGCTGTTGTGCTTGGCTGATGTGTTTTTAGAATGAGAAGTGTCACCTCCTGATCGAGCACGAGACCCAGAAGCTGAAGTCCCTGGATGAGAACCACAACCAGCACATGAAGGAGTGGCGAGACAAGCTGAGACCACGGAAGAAGGTGAGGGCTCCTGGCTGGAGGGGACAGCGCCCACAGCTCCAGTGTGGGGGGTGTAAGCTGGGATTTGCACCATTTATCAGTGGTTTGTCCATCAGTCTCGTGTGTTTTCATGATTAATGGAAACACGACTGAGGTGATTCTCGTGTTCAGGCTTGGATGTTTATTATATCTTATAAAAAAATTACAAAAAGTACAACAGCACCTCCAGCTCCTTGTTAAAAGGGGGAAAATGGCTCAGACCAGCCTGTTTTAAGACCTTTTAAAGCCAAACAAACCAATAGAAGTTTTACACCTCCATTATTTATCCTTTTGACCCAATAATAGATTCCCACCACCCTTAGAGTGACATTGACCAACCAAAGGTCACTGCCTGAGTTCTGTGAAGAAGGAAGAAGATGAACAAAGAAAAAGACACCACCCCAAATTCTCCATTTTGTCCCATACCCACCCCTGTACTGTAAAAACTTCAAATTTAAACCCCATCCCCCAGTGAAAACACACACATCTGACCCACTGCACATTTGTGATTTCTAACTCATTATTCAGATTTCCTAACTCATTATTCACATTTCCTAACTCATTATTCACATTTCCTAACTCATTATTCAGATTTCCAAGCCTTCTCCAAGGTTCCAGCTCCAGAGCAGTGTTTTCCAGGGGGGGTCTGTGCCTGGAAGCACAGAAAGCTCCAAAACTCCACATTTCTGACATCCAACACCCCAGAACGACCTCAAACACATCTCTTGTGTTGTTCTCTTTGCCCAAAGGCCCTGGAGGATGAGCTGAACCAGAAGAAACGTGAGCAGGAGATGTTCTTCAAGCTGAGCGAGGAGGCCGATGGACAGGTGCCAGTGTCCCCAACCAAACACGCCAAGTTCGTCCCCTTCAGCTCCTCAGAGAGTTTGTAACACCTGGCAGGCCACCAGCTGGTACTGGCCACGTCCTCCTGGGCTGCAGGGGGGCAACGTGGACTGGCAAGACCCTCTCAGCAGCCCCTTGTCACCACAGCACCCTCCTGTCCCCGTGCTCTGTGGGATCACTGCACTGAGGGGTGCTGGCTGGAACTTGGGGTGGCTTTCCCAGGAGCTCCAGGCTGGGAATTGGGGCAGGATCCTCTCTGGATTGTCCTGGCACTGTTGGCTGGGTGATTCCTGGGCGAGCCTGGTGCTCTCTGGGTTTGTCAGCTCAGGCTGGGGCAGTGACCACGCTGCTCAGGAGAAGCAGCCCCCCAGGTGACAGGGCTGTCACCTCCCTGTCCACCCTGGCTGCTCCTGTCCCAGTCCTTTGTAAGGCCTGGCCTGGGCCACAGCAGCTTTGGCGTTGTCTTAAACTCACCTTGGCCTTAGAATTATTCCTCTCCACTGTGGCCCATTTGTTGCCATAGAGAGGCAGAAATTTGGGGTTTTTTTGCCTAGGGAGGGGGGCTGGGTTTTTTCTTTCCTCCTCCTCCCCACACAGACAGTGCAGAAAGGGGCTGGGTGTCCTCCCAGAGATGTCTCTGCTCTCCCTTTGCTGCCACCCCTGGCACCACAGCCCCTCTGGCACTGAGCCAGCACTCTGCTATCAGAGGATGGGTTTTGGGGTGGCTACACTGCCCAGCTGGCTGCAGGGTTTGGGTCTGGGGGAAGTGGAAGTGCAGGGGCAGAGGTTGGGGACAGCACTCGGTCCTGCAGGGACACGGTGAAGTGTCTGTCACTGTCATGTGCCTCTGGGATGGCGTGAGTGGGGGGTGAAGGGTGTGAAGAGCTCTCACGATCACACAGGAGCTTGAGGCTGGATTTGAAATCCTTTCTGTGTGGGGCCATGTGGGTCGGGCAGCCTGGCCAGGGGGTTATGGCTCAGAGCATCCTTTGGGAGGAACAAAGAGCAGAGAAACAAGGGAAGAGGAGATGCAGAGGGGGCTTGTTGCTCCCAGCATCTCCTTGTGATGTGCCACAGATTTTTGGATGGTTCTCCTGGCTGGGAGGCGTGGACAGAGTGGCAGAGCAGGTCCTCTGTCCTTTCTGTCCCCTCCACCTGCACAGGGCAGGGCTTGGCTGAGCTGCTGGGTGGGACTGGGAGCACAGAGCTGGGGAGGGGGTCAGGGACCTCACTGGCAGCACCTTCTTCTTTACACAACCCAAAGGTGTAAGGGAGCACTTAAGTTTTTCTCTGGACAGCATTGTTTGTTTTAGACCTGTTTCTTTAGCAAGAAAAAAAATATTTCTGCTTAAAAAAAAAAAAAGAGAAAATATTAGGAAAAAAAGTTGTTATTTTCAAGTGCCCTCTGTTGATTTAGTGGCATTTCAGGGAAAGGTGGTATGTGATGTGCCCCACTTCTAGGTCCTGGGCTGAAGGAGGCAGCCCCCAGGTCTTTAACTCTATCTGGGGAAAGCATTTCCTACCCTTTTCGAGCTCCTGATCCATATTTATAAGCTTCCTGCAATGTAGCAAGACTCTGTCTCTGGGCCATTGCAGGTTTCACAGCACTGATGTCTCTGTTAATAAACATAGGAAGGGTTCCTGCCCCATCTCCAAGGGTGTGGATTGTTCCTTTCAGCTGTGAGAACACCAGGCTGGGAGCTGATGTCAGGTTAATGAATGCACAGGGACGTTCCTGAATGGGACAAGGGGCAGATTGGAGGCTTTGAATCACCTTGGGAATGTCACAGCAGCCCCAGTGGTTCTGGTTCTGCTCCTGCTGGGCTCAGGCTGGGGCTGTTCTGTGTCACAGGAATCAGAGCCCAGTCCTGTCCTGCAGCACTCTGTCACTGTCACCTCCCTCAGCTGAAGGGCACTGCTGCCTTCCCCACCAGCCCAGGGAGCATCATCCCTCTCTGGACATTTAAAAACCATTTCAGGGTTTTAAACCAGTTTTAAACCATTTCCCAAAGCTGATGCAATGCCCCTGTGGGAAATGAGTTTTCCTTTCCTCCACTCCAGCTGGTTTTCAGAGAGCAGCACAGCCCTGCTAACAGAGGTAGGAATGGCTCTGTCCACTCATTTTTTTGTATTTTGTGTTCTCTCCCTGGTGTGCCAGGCTCACTCACCTAGAAGGGGGGCACATCATCATGATTGTCATGTTTACAGCGTGGTTATCATCTTCCCTCTTTTCAAAAAAGGATTTTTTTTTTTTTTATTATTCCCTGTTCAGATGGAACCACAATTAAACCCAGCTTGCTTTTCGAGGGGGGTGGGACACGATTTTAAAAAATGTGGCTTCGAATAAAAAGGGTTTTTTAAAATATTTTGTAAAATATCCTCAGCGGGGCCACCACCATGATGTAAAAACCTCTCTAATAAAGTAACAGACTGATAAAACCTGGGCATGGGTCTGATTTTGTGCCAGCTATGAATTCAGATCAGCTTTGCTTCTGCTCTGGGTTATACTGGCTTAGAAAAACTTCTGGCATTTGAACTTTGCGAGGCTGACCCTGCAGTTCTCTCAAAGCAAGAGCTGGAGCCTCTCCTGCTGCTCTGGGGCAGGGACATCTTTGCCACCAAGCTGAAATTGTGGTGGAGCTGAAGCAAAGCAGCCTGGGTGACTCCACGGTGTGTTCAGATGGTGCTGGGCTGACCCTGCTTGGTGAGGAGTGAGTATTGCACCCTGAGAGCCCAGCATTTCTGCGTGCATTTCCGCATGCATTTCTGTATGCATTTCTGCATGCATTTCTGTATGCATTTCTGCATGCATTTCTTCCTTTTTAATGAGCTGGCCTGGCTTTAACAGCAATCTCAGGCAGAGGATTCGGTTCCCTTGTTTTGGGATGCCTCCCTGGCTCTTCCCATGCTCAGGAGGAGAAAAAAAAAGTCATGTTTTGTCCCATGGGTGCAGGAGAAATCTGTGCCTCCTCCCCTGGGCTGCAGAGAAAAGCTCCCAAATGAACCCAAATGTTTGTTCCCTGCTCAGAACTTCTCACTGCTGCTTTCATCGATTTCTCTCAAGGACACACCACATTAAATTAGGGCAGCTTGGACACGAGCCCATGGAGCTGGTGTGGGTTTACCCTCAATTTTGGAAGGTTTTTTTTGCCAGAAGCTGCCAATTTAACCTTGGATTTCGTGCTGGAAATGACCTCGCTGGCAGTGTCCACCCCAGGTAAAAGTGCAGGACGTGAGTTCAGCTGAGGTGCTGGAAAGGAGATGGAATTGGGAGTGTAAGGTTTTAAATGAGCGGGGAGAGAAGGATGAGCAAAGCCTGAGGGTTCCTGTCTCCTTGCTCCACAAGACAGTGCAGAATGGAGTAGCTGAGCACTCGGAATTAATCATTTTGTTTATGTACAGCAGGACTGCACTGTCCCCTGGGACACACTGGTTTCACTCAGTGTATCCCAGGGAAGCAGGAGATCTCCTGGGAATATTTAATTTTAACTGCATGTCCTTGGCAGTGCCTGAGGGGATCTTCAACCATGAGGATTTAACATATATTTAGAAGTACTGTATATCCCAGAAATAACTGTTAACTACCATTCCGTCTGGGTGCTGTGCTGAAAACAGAGAGACAGTAAAAATATTTCTTCATTTTTAAAGCCAGAGCTGACAGCCCTGAGAAGTTCCTGGTGCTGCAGCAGCTGCAGCATCCCCTGAGGTTTAGGTCCTGTCACATCTGGGCTCCAAACTCCTCTGGGCTGCCCAGGGGCTTTTGCAGTTGCTGATGATGGAATTCCCTGCGGGAGGAAAAGCAGGGCGGGCAGGCAGAGTCTCGGGGTTTGTGCCTGAGTTTTTTCCTCCCGGATCTGAGCTCCCTTTGTCTCTGCAGGACTCCCTGACAGTCACCTCCACCCTCCAAAGCCAAACGCTGCTGCTGCTGCTGCAGTGGCCACTGGTTTATTCTCCAGCTCCCCAGGAGCAATCCAAGCCCCTCTGGAGGTGTTGCCCCTCTCCTGTCTGGGATGGGGCTGGATTTTGGGGACACACTCCCATCCTGGACTGCTCTGGACCCGATTTCCAGGCTGGCAGGAGCTGGATGTTTGCTGCTCTTCCTCTCCCTCACTAGATGGCACAACACTGGAGCTCCTGAAGGGCTCTCTGGGTTTTTTCCCTGGATTTGGCACTCTCTGTGGCACCCCTTCCATCAGATCTCTGCTTCTCCTCGGCGTTTCAGTACTTTTGTTGCCCTCAGGATTTTCCCAGGGCTCCCCCATTTGAGGGCTGAGCATCCCCTGTGTGAGTTCTGTTCTCCCTGGGCAGGGTGGGTGCTGCCTGCTGCCAGCCTGGCTGTGATGGGTGGCACCTAAACCCTGCAATTCGGGGGGTCACAGCAGTGGAAAATCATTCCTGCTGAGAATCAGAGAGATCCAGCCCTGGTGAAATGAGGAATCTCTGCTGGGCTGGGCTCCATCTCTGGGGGTAGGAGCATCATTTTTGACTGATTTTTGTGAGGTGGCTCAGGGAAGATGGATGCATTTGTTCTGTGCACAGGGAGGAGCAGGACATTCAGTCAGCTGGCACCATCTCCCTAAATTAAAATTAAAACTGAGGAGTGAGCTCCTCCTGGGCTCTCCATGCCGGGATGACTGCAGTGTTCCCCCTGCAGCCAGGGCTGATGCTGGGGCACTCCTTTCTCATTCCAACTCCCTCCCTGACACCAGGCTGACCTCGGCGACCGCCCAGCTGTGCCCAAACAGCTGGAATCCACTTACAGCCGTGCAGAAACCCATTTGTCCGTCCGAGCTTGAGGGATGATTTCTCAGAAGTCGTTTGCCCTCTTGTTTTAAATTGCTCAGCTGATCCTGGCACACACAAGGGAGAGTGCACGAGCCTGACTCTTGTGTAGGTTGTGACCTCTCCTGTGTAGTTATTTTATCACAGTTATTTTATTTTATTTGGCTTCATGAAGCTTCAGCCTCCGCTTAGGGAGGAGATGAATGTTTATCCTGAAACTCCCCTCATTCTCACCTGCAGCACCCCACCTTTCTGGGGGATGTGCTGCTGCCACATCCCCGCCGTCCTGCAGCAGCATCCCCAGAGGTGTGGGCCGAGCACAGGGCTCCCAGGTCACCACAAACCCCTCCTTTGGGCTCCCTGAGAAATCCTTGACACGTTCCCTGATAAATGAGCAAGGCACAGCAGAGCCCCAGGCAGGCTCTGCCTCTCCACAGCCGTTTCTCCCCCCGGGGAGGTGATGTGGTCAGCATGCAAAGCCACTCTCCACTCCCCTCATTAGACTTGTTAATTAAACACAGGAGCCATTTTGCAGCCTGGGCTGAGTTCTCTCCAAGCCCTGCTGTTCCTGGGTGCTCATTAGCTGGGAGGCTCAGCCAGTGCTGGAATCCCTGCAGCAGCTCAGGGGGGAAGACAATGCTGATGCTGAATTCATTCATTCATTAATACCTTAATTCTTCTTTTCAGCATGTGAAGAACAGAAACTGTTTCATTCCTCTCTTCATCAGCTTTCTGCCTTGCTCCACATCTCAGTGTACACTCCCTCTCTCACCAGCTGCTTTGGGTGTTTTCCTCACCATCCTCTGGAGGATTTGTGCCTCTCTCAGGGCTTTTAAACCAATAAAACTTCCTCTGCTCCAGCCTGGACACTCCACACAACATCAGGAGCTGCAGTTCTGTATCATTATCTTGCATGCATGCAAAAAGTCTCATCATCTGAATGTTGTGAGTTTGATCCTCACACAGAGCACCACTGTATTGCATTGGTTTTTTTTATTTCTGTTACAGTCGGGATTAAAAGTTTGAGACAGTATTTCTTGTTTGGACTTAGATGTTTATTAATTTTTATTTATATTATATTTTCTCAAAGTGTGAGTTTCATAGCACTTTAAGCCAACAAGTTAAAAATGGAGACGTCTCTTTTTTTTACAAGGCCTTTTAAGGGGTGTTTAATTAAGAAAAGCTAGCTAAATTATTTTTACTTTTAACTTAATAACTAACTACCCGTGGTCTGCAATGTGGAATTTTTTATCTAATTAAACATGATGACTTAGACTCGTGAAGAAGGTGAAGAAGAAAGAAACCTCTGCCCTACAATTTTTATTTTGTTTTATATATATTATATTACACTATTTTAAAACCTCAAAATCTAAGTTTTCTACCACGTGATATTACACACTTTCATTCAAACTACGCACCTGTGATCTTAGTGTTATTATTTCATTTTGGAAGTTTTCTTTATGGCCTTAGGTCAAAAGTAGCGTTTTCCTGGTGGTCAGTGCTGGTCAGCACAGAAAGTCTAAAATTCCAATTTCCAGGCTTCCAACACAGTTCCAGATGTGGCTGCTATCCCATGAGCTCTTCCAGCATCCCACATGAATATCACGATGCCAGAAGGAAGGGAGGATTCCACAGCTCATCTCCACGTCCTCCTGCCTTGGAAACACACCTGCCTGAGACTGATGTCAGGGTGTGACCTGGGGGGGTGACAATGCAGCTGCTCCACCAGTACCCTGTGTCTGCACCACCGAGGTCCCCAGTGACCTGATGTCCCCTTCAGCCAGCCCAGAAAACCTCTCTGCAGCCACCCCTGCAGGGACACCGTGCCCTGGGGCTTTGCTGAGGGGGAGGAGGATGAAGACGAGCCCTTGGGGAGGGGCAATAAGGCACTGGCAAGCTGCCTGCACCTCCATTAATTCCCTGGGGCGGCTGCAGCAAAGTTAATAGTATTAAAAAGAGCCACATTTAAGGAGCCGCTAAGGAGTGAGATGAGTTGTTTATGATTAAATTAAATTCATATGAAAACTAATGACCTGCCAGTGTAAGCCTTGAGTAACTTTATAATGTAATTAAAAGCCCAACGGGGGAGAGAGCTGTGGTTATGGCACGTGTTGAGCTGCTGGGAAGACGGAGGCCACGGGTAAGTGGTGATGTAAAGAGCCTGGGCACTGCCCTGGCTCCTGTGTTGGCACCAGGGCACAGAGCGTGGCACGAGGAGAGGTTGGGTGCACTGGGTCAGCTCCTGGCTCACAGGGATGGAATCACGGGCTGGAAGGGACCTTAAAGATCATCCCATTCCATGGGCGGGGACACCTTCACTACCCCAGGGTCCACTGTCCCTGTCCAGCCCGGCCTTGGGCACCTCCAGGGATGGAACTTCCCTGTCCTCAGCAGGCTCACGGTAAATTCCTTCCTGATAACGAATCTTAACCTGCTCTCAGTTTGGAGCCATTCCCCCTCGTCCTGTCACCACACGCCCTTGTAAACAAAGTCTCTCCCCGCAGGTATGCGCCGCGTCCCGGGCAAGGCAGCACCACAAACCTTTCCTGCTCGTTTCCTCCTCCTTTAGGGATGCGCTAACCCACGGGGAGTGCTGTGATGGGACAAGAACCGTCCAGCCCGGGGGGCAGAACCATCACGGGGTGACGGAGCGCACGCACAGGTAAGGGGTGGGGGGCACACCGGGACCCCTCCCCGGGAGGCACCGGCGGGCACTGCGCCCTCTGAGCCATCCCGGTACCGCAGCGCCGAGCTCGGGGCGCACCGGGAGAGGATCGGGGCGCACCGGGAGAGGATCGGGGCGCACCGGGAGAGGATCGGGGCGCACCGGGAGAGGATCGGGGCGCACCGGGAGAGGATCGGGGCGCTCCGAGGGGGGATCGGCGTGCACCGGGGGAAGGACTGGGGCGCACCGGCGGAGGATCGGGGCGCACCGGGAGAGGATCGGGGCGCTCCGAGGGGGGATCGGCGTGCACCGGGGGAAGGACTGGGGCGCACCGGCGGAGGATCGGGGCGCACCGGGAGAGGATCGGGGCGCACCGGGGGAAGGATCGAGGCGCACCGGGGAAAAACTCGGAGCGCGCACCGGGAAAAGCTCGGGGCTCACCGGGAGAGGCTCGGGCCGGCCGCCCCTTTAAGCGAGCGGCGGTGGGGCCGCCCCGCCGGCCGGGATAGGCCGGGCCGGGCCGGGGCCGCCTCCCGCCCCCGGAGCGGGCGGCGCGGGGAGGTTCGGCCGCGCTGCAGCCTCCGGTGCCGGCGGCGAGCGCCAGAGCGTCCCCGCTCCCCGAGGGGCACGGCAGCGGCGATGCCCAGGCGGAGCATCGCCGAGGTGAAGGTGCTGGACGTGCAGAAGCGGCGCATCCCCAACAAGCACTATGTGAGTGCCCCAGCCCGGCCCTGGGCGAACAAAGGCCGGGCGCTGCTCCCGCGCGGAGCTCCGGGAAGGGAGGACGGAGGAGGAGAAAGAGAAAGAGGGCGGCAGCGCTGCCGGGGGTGCCTCTCACGGGTGTCCTGAAGGGTCTCACCGTGCCCCGTGCCAGCCTGGGGATGCTCCGGCGCTGCCCGCAGCCGCCGGCCCCGCGGGGGATGCCCGGGGGATGCCCGGGGGATGCGGGCGGGGGTTGTGCACACCGGGCAGCGGCCACGGGCACGGCGGTGAAGCGTCCCCGCTCCTGCAGCTTCAGCCGGGGCCATGGGACCTGTTGGTCGCAGAGTCCCGGGGCAAAGGGACCACCCGGCTCCTGCTTTCTCCTCCCTGGATAGTGCTCGGTCCCTAGGAAGGATCCCTCGTGTCCTCTGCATCCTCCCCACCAGTCTTCCTGCGTGCTCCAAACTGTTGTGGGTTTGTCTATTTTTGAAAGTGGTTTTCTTTCTTTCTTTCTTTCTTTTTTTTTTTTTTTTTAAGATTTCAACTTTGGTGTGTTTCCAGGCACCCGTGGAAAGCTTGCGGGTGAATCCTGGCAACAGCCATAAAACAAAGACCGAAATTTCCTCCCTCCCGTTTTGCCGTAGAGCAGGGTGACCCAGTGACACACTGTTCGTGGCACATTTGGGTTGTGTAGATGTGGTGTTTGCTCTGGCTGGAGTCACTTGTCAGAAGAGCCAGGGTTTCAGAGCTCTTGGGAGATCAAGGGCTCCTCCAGGTGCCCTCGGCTGGTTTGTGGCATTGAGCAACAATTGGAGGAAAGCTGAGGGCAGCCAGCTCCAGGAGGGGAGGGCAGAGGGGTCTCCCCTTACATCAGGGATGTGGCGTGGCTGCTGCCACCCACTCCCTTATCACCCCTCCTTCCTGCCGCCTTTCCTGGAGCTTTACCAGCCTTGGCTGAGCCTGGCACCGGCTCCAGATGTGCCCTTTTCCTGCCGTGCCCATCGCGGCTGTGCCGTGCCCCGCTCCGGAGCAGCGCGTACGTGCGGAGCTCTGCGCTCTGTGCTCTGTGCTGTTTGTCTTGGCGGATCCGGGGTTTCTCCGCCAGGTCCCGCTGCGAGGCCGGGCTGGGATGGCCTCAGGGATGTCCCCACAGTCCCCGCTGTGCCCGCAGGAGCCGTGTCCCCCCGGCAGGGACACGCACCCCCAGTGCCGCGCACGATCCGCTTTGTGCGCTCGCCCTCCGCCCGGCACGGAGAGCCGGGTGGAGTTGGGCATAGCACAAATAATCCCTGTGAGGCTGCAAAACTGGGACAGCGATGTTTTCTGAGAGCTGGGTGGCGGGGCAGAGGGTGGGGACAGCGGAGCAGGAGCTCCGGGAGCGCTGGCAGAGGCGGTGGGTGACATCTGTGCAGCCCGGCCGCTCAGCTCCTCCGCGGATCCCTGTGCTTCAGCCTTCCCCTGGACTTGTCTTGGACCGAAATCCAGCAGCAGGAGCCAGCGTGGCTCGCACAGGGCTGAGCCCAGGGAGGGGCCGGCAGCTTGCAGGCAGCTGGAGTGAATGGGAGAGCTCGCCTTGCTGGAGAATCAATAGAACCGGGCAGATCCACAAAGCCGGTTAATTATATGAAACCAAACCTTTTTCTTTTTTTTTTTCCTGCAAAGAGAGGGAGAGGCAGCAAATCATGGCTGAATCATTTGTAGACGGTGGCTGCTGGCACAGCGTGAATCTGTGTAAAACCTTTGCCCTCTGTCTTGTCCCATCACACAGATGTGCTGTGCTCCATCCCTGAGGCAGCACTCCTGTCCCCGGGGATCCTGGAGGATTCCCAGTCCTTGGGGATCCTGGAGGATTCCCTGGCCCCAGGGATCCTGGAGGATTCTCTGTCCCCGAGGATCCTGGAGGGCTCCCTATCCCTGAGGATCCTGGAGGATTCCTTGTCCCCGGGGATCCTGGAGGATTCCCTGGCACTGGTGATCCTGGAAGACTCTCTGGCCCTGAGGATCCTGGAGGATTCCCTGTCCCCGGGGATCCTGGAGGATTCCCTGGCCCTGGAGAGGCTGGAGGACCACGCTGGCTTTTCCTCCTGTTTCCTCTGTGATGATCTGCCCTGCTCAGGCTCCTGTCCATCAGCCAGAGGCTTCTCTTTGCTGGACAAAGCTGTGATTGTGTTGATCCTGATGAGGCCACAGCACAAAGTTATGAATTCCACTTTCCCAGCAAAGTGAGGTCGAGGCAGAGTTTCAGAGTCTGGTCACACCTGCAGTGGGCAGGGCTGGCTCTATTCAGGCTGCTGTGGTTTGCTTTTCACCTGGGTAATTGATACAACCAAAATTGCATTGCCTGAGACAAAAAGTTGTTTGTTCTGCAGCTCTGCTATGAAGCAGGAGGCAGAATATTTCCCCAAATTGCAGGGCAAGCACCCAGCAAGGTGCTGGGCAGGGTTTGGGTAGCTGGGTACTGAGCTCAGTGTTAGGGCTCAGCCCTCAAACTCCACTTGTGTTTTTATGCTTTTGTTTTTTTTCATGGGCATTACCTGGCCAAGGATGATCATTGTGCAGGTGTTTGTTGCAGGATGCTCTGGCTCGTGGCAGCCCATTATCCAAGTGGAAAGGGGACTCCATCCTGCAGGCAGTGGCTGAGGTGACATTTTCAGTGACATTTCCCACAGTCCTACATGAAGTGATCACAGCTCAGGGATGCTGCCAGCGAGGGCTCTGGGGCCATCCTGCAAATCTGAGAAGGAAAAATCCAAGAGTAAAGTTTAAAAATAATCGTTGTGAGAGACAGAGTAGCAGACTGTCATTTCTCTGGTCTGGCCAAGTCTCTGATAAATGAATGTTTATTCAGAAAAGACCCAAAACAAAGCTAGAGTTGAAACAGAATGGATTTTCCTTTAAAGGACTTCATGCAAGACCTTTTTGTGATATTGTGTTTGTTTTTCTCGAGTAGAAGCCCTAAAATAAAGCTTTTTCTTACTAAATCCAGATTTGGTTTTCTTTCCTTTGGGCAAGCTTCAGGATGTTTCATTTTGTTACAGCTGCAATGTGTGTGTTTTCTGTGTGTTAACAGCAGTGCCATTGAATCCCATCTCCATTTCTGCCTACCAGGAATATTTCCATAGTAATATAGGTTTAAATAGTTGTTCTGGAGCACCATCCAAAATTGTAGATATCCATTCAACAGCATGCTGTTTGGGTGGGTTAAATTTTTGGGAAAAAAAATTGGATTATGTTCTCGCAGGACTTCATTCCCAGCCTCCATGGAAATGGGAAATATCCATGAAAATGGGAAATTTAACCAAAGTGTGCAGCACACATTTATTTTGCAAGCCCAGCGAACAAGATGGCAAAACTTTAAACAAGGTGAAGACATCATTTGTGGGAGCTGGGTTGTGAAAGTAATTAACAGTGCGTGGTGGAATCTGGCTAATGAGATCTACAGGTATTTTGAAACAAATTTGAGGAATAAGGTGTTATATTTTTGATGTGGAATTTGTGCTGTGATGGTGCTGAGGCCATTTGTGCTTTCATTCTCCTGCAGCCCAGCCCCACTGCTCATCTGGGTTATGGAGTGTTTGAAGGACAGGAGGACAGAGCTGCCAACCCACAGCTTCAGTGCTCCTTTAGTGCCTTGTGTTTCTAGGGCTGAAGGAATTCCTGAGGAAATGCCCCATGGGCTGTGTTTAGTGGTCCCCTGCTTGCCCAGAGCTCGGTGGCCACCTGGCACTGTGTCACCTTGCCCAGCCGAGCAATTCCCGTGGATTTTTGGTGTCGTTTCTACCCTGGTGAATCATTCTGGTTGTTTGGCTTCCAGAGGGTGTCAGGGGATGATTTGTCCCTCCCTGGGAAGGGTGACCATGCCCTTGGAATGGTGGGAATGTCCTGTGGGCAGCCAGAGGAGCTGAGTGAGGAAGGAGGAGGTTGGCATGAATAATGTGAAATCCGTGCAGTGTCACCAAACCAGAGGAGTGACAGCGAGCCAGGGCAAGCTGCAGTTTGGCTCCCGGTGGCCTCTGAAGGTTTGAGGCCTTTCTCAGCATCCTCAGTGGTTTTTTTTTGCTGCTGTATCCTGTGGCTGTGCCTTGTCTCATCCCATTTCCTGTCAGCTGGATGATGCTGTCCCAACGAGCAGGGAGTTTTTAGGAATTCTGCCGTGTCCTTGCTCTGCTCCACACAGCTCACCAGTCTTTCCTCCTCACCTCTCAGCAGAGCTGGGGTTTAATGGAGCGCTCTCAGCTTTGTGGATGAAAACCAGCACTCAAACTCAAGCTGTCCTTTGTTTTTCTTCCCCAGCCACGTTTTCTCAGAGCTGTTGAAAAGCTGGAATGTGGAAGGGCCAAATCCTGCCTGGCCCTTTGGCTGCTGAGGCAGGAGCAGCTCTGAGTGGGAAGCTGATGCTCACACTGGATTCCAGCAGCTCTGGGGCCACCCCTGGCCTCTGCCTGCCCCCAGCTCTGTGACCTTGATCCCCACAGCTTTGCTTTGGAGGGTGTCTCTGTCTTCCGGCCCTGTGGTGTCACAGTGGGAAATAGGAAACAGGAGAATCCATAACGTGACCTTCAGTGTGGCTGGGGTGACCTTCACGTGCCGTGTGACACTCTGAGGGGTGTGAGCAGGCTGTGCTGGGGTGTCCTGCCCTTGGCACAGCCCTGTGTGTGTGCCCTTGGCACCCCAGCAGTGCTGGGGCTGTGCTCGGGCTCTGGGGTGGCAGGAGGAGGGTGCAGCTGCAGGGATGAGCTGGAGCTGGCTGCTCTCAGTGCTGGTGAGGATTTCCCTGCCCTGCTGCTGCCTCCATCCCTCTCTCCCAGCTCCCTGCAGCCCTGCCTTGCTGCTTCTGCCTCCCCTTTGCCACAAGACCCAGGGCAGCATCCCTGCTGCTGGAAATCCTTCTCTGTGCCAGCATGACATGGAGACCCCTCCCAGCTCCCAGCCTGGAGGGAGGGGGTCACAAGCTGTCTGCTCACTGAGCTGGGCCTTGGCTGTCCCTCTCCTGCTCCCAGCTTTGCCACCCCATGGCACAAGAGCCCCCATGTCCCCTCCCCAGCCCTGCACGCCTGCAGCACTGAGAGCTGATGGAGAGGGGCCAAGCACAGCAGCTTGGTGCCAAGAACTTTCTTTGTTTCCAGCCACCTCCCTCCTTTTATTTTTTTTTTTCTTTTCCTTTTAGAATTTCCCACTCCCTTTTCTGTATTAAACCCACTCTGGTTTGGCTCCTTTGGTTTCTCTGCCCCTTTGGGTTTCTCATGCAGTGGGAGGGTGAGGCTCTCACATCTCCCCTCATTTCAGGGTCGGGCTAGCGTGGGTGAAATCAAAAGTCTGATGCTTTTGACTGATGCTTTTCCTCTTTGCTGGTGAAAGATGCTTTAAATATGTGGAGTTTTCCACAGAGAGGTTTATTGTGCAGAGTCTCCCTGGACCTGAGACCACACAGACTTTGGAAAGAGCTCTGCAGACAGCTCTGGAGGCTCCTCTGTCTGGAGCTGCTCTGCTGGAGGCTGGGGACCTTCCCTGGTGTCCCTGCATTGCTCTGCAGCTCTCTTTCCAAGTGACCATGGTGTTGTTCTGCACCCTGCCCACGTCAGTGTGGACGAGCTGTGGGCACAGGGATGCCAGGGAAGCTCTGGGATGGTTCAG